CTCCTTCCCCAAGAGAAGAAACGAAGAAAAGCAAAAAAGGAAGTCTAAAGATATCGGGTAATTCTATCCATTAATGATTAGGTAAATAAAAAAAAATCACCTAGTATTTTCTTCCCTTGCTAAAATATATTACAAGGGTTAGTTATTATCTTTTTAAGGATAAAACGAGGTCAATGAATTCATATTCTTGTAAATAAAATTTAAACTTCAAATATTTATTAAAAAATAAAACTAATTAACATTTCAAATTTCAGATAACCAAATTATGAAAAAAAAAAGTTTAATAAAATATTTTATTGGATTTGCCATGCAGTCTAAGTAAGATCGATCGATATATTTTGATATTCTGGACCTTTCTTTAATTGAAAGAATGAGAAATGGATTGATACAAAATTTAAATAGAAAAAAATTAGGGGTGTACAAAGGAAACCGACAAACCGCATCAATCCGATAATCTGAATCAAATCGAGAAAAAAAATCCGATTATGATTTGGTTTGATGTTGGAAAAAAACCCGACCATAATGATTTGGTTTGGTTTTAACTAAAGAAAGTCAAACCGAAACCAACCCAACCCGACATTACATATATAATTTTTTTAGATATATTTAATATATAAATATACTTATTGTGATGTAATTTATTAATATATTTCTTAAAAAATTCATAATTTTATCTTTTAAGGTATTATTTCAAGGTTGAACTCAGAACTTTTGAATGCTCCAATAAGTTTTATAGCCATTAATATGGGGGATTTGTATCTATACCCGCTTTTTGGGCCACGTTTTAACTTATACCCGCTTTGTAAAAAAAATTGCAAGCGTACCCACTTTTCGCGTAAACTTCAGGCATACGGGCCTGAAGTAGCAAAAACAATCACGCAAACTTCAACATTCTAGTAGACGGGCCTGAAATTGTTTGTAATTGTTGAACTTAAACATTCTACTAGCTGAAGTTTTGTTCTCTATTTGCTGAACTTCAGCATGTTTTAGCTGAAGTTTTGTCCTGAATTCAATAGTTTTGTCGTAAAGCTTTTTCAAAAACTTCAGCAGAAAATGCTGAAGTTATTTAGTTCGTTTGTAAAAACTTCAGCACTAAATAAGCTGAAGTTTTGTCCTGGATTCATTAGTTTTGTCATAAAGCTTTTTTAAAAACTTCAGCCGAAGATGCTGAAGTTATTTAGTTCATTTGTAAAAACTTCAGCACTAAATAAGCTGAAGTTTTGTCCTGAATTCATTAGTTTTATCATAAAGCTTTTTCAAAAACTTCAGCACTAAATAAGCTGAAGTTTTTTGTCCTACAGTCTACTAGCTGAAGTTTTGTTCTCTATTTGCTGAACTTCAGCATGTTTTAGCTGAAGTTTTGCTCTATATTTGCTAAACTTTAGCTGATTTATGCTTCTAACGAACCTCATTCTCCTCACGCCGCTTCCACTTCCATCTCCGTTTCAAAACAAATACTCCTACGTAGTTAGCAAAATTAAAAGGGGTTGTGCAAATGAGAAAGCTTTCAGTTTTTGTTTCTATTGGATTGGCTCATAGATCCGCCAAATTCCGCAGCAGTAATAATAATGTTCTTCGCTCTTACTGCAAATCCGCTTCTCCCTCCATCAATCTTGGTCAGTCCTTTCCCCTAATTCTTTCAGCTTCTTCTCTCTCTCTTTTCTAGTGAATAAACTCTTCCCATCTGATTTCTTATGTTTAAATGAATTGACAATGAAAACATGGAATTCCAACTCTCAATCTTGTTCCATGTTGGGCACTGCACTGCATTCAAACTGTTGAGTCAGAGATAGCTGGAGAAAGAAAAATTTAGAGAAGAAAGGAGGAAGAAAGGAGCGCACAGGTAGCAGGAAGAAGGAGGGACCTGAAGTTGTAAAAATTAGGATATATGTTAAATAATTTTAAAAATATGGGTATAGATTAAATGGGGCGACCAAA